GGGGGGGAGTTCAAGTTTGGAAGCAAAAACTACAATTGGAAACTTCATATTTTGAAACTTGAAACAAGCAGAAACGTTTATTGCTCTTAGCTTGGTTGATCCTACAAATCTTGATCAATGTTTAAGTCAACCTAAAGGCAAAATAAAAAGTAAATATATTTTAATACAATTAGAACTGTGAAAGTGTACGAGCCAAAGAAAATAGAGTTTAGGTAATTTCTATGTGACTATGTAAATGAAGTTTTTTTATAATTTCAAATTATTTCAAATAAAACCCAAGTTCAATATAACCGTGTTCTCAACGCACTTATAACCCATCCTTTCTTCTGCTTCTCTGATGGTACCCTTATCTTCCCAGCAGTTCCCTTCCTCCGCCCACCCCTTAAATGCTGGAGTAGAATGGTTTCACCCTCAGTCCCTCCTGTATTCTACATGCTCTCCTGGTATCTTACTTGCTCTCCTAGCTTCAATTAGCATATATGCCCGTGACTGCTGACTTGTCTCCACCTGGACCTCTCTCCTGTCCTCCAGACCTGCCTTGTAAACCATCTGGCCTTTGGCCAGTTTCACCTAAAATTCAACATGTCCACAACCGAAGCCATCGTTTTCACAAAACCTACTTTCTCTTCTTATGTTCCTCAACTCAACAAATGGTAAAGCTCAAAAGTGGTAAAGAGTCTATCCAGTGCCCAAGGCAGAACTCTGGGCATCATCCTCGACTTCTTTCTCTCCCTTATCCTCTCGGTCAATATTGGATCTATTCGTTCCCCCAATCTCTGCTGTTTGCACCCCAGCCCTAGTCCTGGTCACCTTTGCATCTGGATGACTGTAATAACTTCCTAAGTGGTCTCGTGTTTCCACTCCTGCCCATTTAAATCCTCTCTCAACTTTCTAAAAACAGAGATCTAGTCTTTAAACCCTTTCAATGACTCCCACTGCACTTAAGTCCAAAATCCCTAACATGACCTGGAGAGCCCAGTGTGATCTGACCTCTGTGCACGTCTCCAAGCTCCACACCACTCTCCTAGCTCCATGCCACTCAGCCATAATACTGTACTATTTCAGTTCCTTGAAAGCATCTGCTGGGTTTGTCTCAAGCTGATTCCTTAAACTTCCCTTCCTTGAGGAGATATATCTAGGGGAGGTCAGGTTTCCCTGCTCCGACCTCTCAGAGCACCTTCTCCATTGGCCTATTGCCCCAAAGGGCAGGAACCCAATCTGTTTTGTTCACTGGCATTTTCTAGCACCCTGCATACTACCAAAACATTTAATAAAAGTTTCCCACTGACTGATTCGTACCCAGTCCACTTCCAGCTCCACTTTCTGAACAGCTTTCAAAAACACCATTTGCTACTGTGGGCCACCAAGGGCACTGCTGTCCAGATCACTACAACAGTTTCCTAAAGTTCTTCTCAAATCTATGGCTCCATTTTCTTCTATATGCTGAAGCCAGACGGCCTTTCTAAAATGAAGTTCTGATTATATCGGCCTCCACTGCTTTCAGGATCAAACCTAATCGTCCGAGCAGATTACAAGTCCTCTCGTGGACTGGCCTCCCTTCCTCCCCGCCTTATCGCACCCTCCCTGCGTCACACTCCCCACAGACCTCCCTCTTGGGGTCTGCACACTTGCTGTGCTCTCAGCCCCACCCTCCATCCCAAGTGACAAATAACTGGCGTCCTTCAGGAAGCCTCCCCCGACCAAGGTGCCTCAACGGGGCTGCTGTCCCCTTGTCAGTGAGCACTGACAAAGGTGACTAAGCATGCTGTCTGCTGGGACAGTCCCAGTTTGCACCTGCCCATCGGCTTCCCTCTCGGCAGCCCCTCCTCTCACTCTTGGAGGGTGCTGGTTTGGACAGGAAATCTCCTGCCCACTCGAACTGTGACTATTAATTGCTTGTTCAGTTGTGTTTCTCCCCTAAACAAGGCCAAAACTATTTTATTCACAATAGCCTCGGGCGCAGTGGTTGGCATGTAGAAAACATTGCATGTTTCTTGAATAAAAAATGTATAGACTGTAAAAGCATATGCTTTCATTAAGATACTTACCTGGTTCCAGGGTTTGCTACTGAGAGGCAAGATGCTGACCCCTCAAATTTAAAGATTATGTGTTTTACCAAGTGAATTTAAAACATATTTGGAAAAATTGAAAGCCTAACCCCAAAGCACACGCATCAGCCTCCGTTACCCCAACCCGAGCTTGCAGCTCCTGTGCCGCCAGTGGTGCCACCCTGGAAGGAGCCGAGCGCGCCCATCCCCACCTGGGCCAGCCGCACGCGCTCCCAACAGCGCCCAGGCCAGGCGGCGATGTGCTCGGCACCCTGTTAGGGAGCCGGTTTCCTTCCGATGGAGCAAAGGGCCCATCTGCCAACCAGCGCTGGCCTCACATTCACAATGCTTCCCGCAAGTAAAAAACCCGGTTTTCACAAAACACTCTCCTCACCGTACTCACATTAGAGAGCATTGGTTCATCGAGCTCTTCCACTCTGCTCAAGTTCGGTGCCCCGTAGCGATCGCTCATCTCAGCTATCGTCTTGCCTCCTTCTATTGGAGACTCCTACAATTGTAAATTTCAGTTTTACTTTTAAGTGACTCCCAAGTTAATACATTAATTTTCTTTCAATCCTGGTAAGAAATTCCTGAATTACAACATCAAAATTCAGCACTGTTGCCCCAGCTGGTTGCTCAGTGGTTAGCGCGTCGGCCCGGAGCCTGAAGGTCCCAGGTTCCATCGGCCAAGGGCACCACCTTGGTTGCAGGCTCAGTCTGCGCTGGAGGCAACCAATCAATGTGTCTCTCACATCAGTGTCTCTCCCTCTCTCTCTTTCCTCCCTCTCCCTCTGTCCCTTCTACTCTCTCTGAAAAGCAATGAAAAAAATATCCTCAGGTGAGGATTAAAAATAAATAAAAAATTCAGCATTGTTAATTAATGGAATGAACCAATATCTGTTAATAACAAGAGAATTCTAGGAATGAATGCTAAAACTTGCTTTAAAAATATATTCAGAAATTTAAAATATATCATTGTAAGTAATCATGTGGTCAATATCTCATAATATTCTGGGTCTTAAAAATACGAACTGAACTTTTATCCACCTTGAGATTTTGCTTTAAAATTTAAGCACACCTTATTTGCAGCTTGTTATTACTAGAATATATATTTGGCCTATCAGTTTTGATAACCTCCTTATTAAAAATTTAGCTACTAATGCATCAAAATTAAGCTTTAAATTCCAGGATACTCATTTATTTCGTGTAACACAAAATAACTTTTTTTCTCACTTCTCTATGTGAAGTAACTTCACCCTTAGCTTCATTTTCCATATTCATTGCCATCTCCTATAATATATAAAAAAGAAAAATACTTTGACTATACTTTTCATTTTGATTATGTGTTTAACTTTCAAGCAGTTTTACTTTTATATAATGCTATGATCAATTTAACAGTGAGAATGTTATCACTCTTAAATGAGTGATCTGAACACAATACAAAACTGACAATCAGTATCATTTAATACCCTATATTAAGAGAAGACAACCATGTTTTGTTTATAATTAAATACAATTTTTTATTAAATGAAATGGGCTGAAACCTCAAATCTGAAGCCAAGTTATTAGCAAATATAAAAAGTGACAAAACAAAATTTTTAATAAATTCTTAGAAGAAGAGATTTTAGGGAGAACTTGCAGTGAAGTAAAATTGTACACATAGTAAGAAAGAGGTAAATATTTCTGAGGGTGTTAAGGTGTCCCAAAGTCACTATCCAATATGCGAATCCTCTCAGAGTATCCAGGCAATGCCCTCCATAGTACTCTGAACACATGGGAGGCCTTGTTATATATGTGAAAATATTTTTCTAACCAACCATGTCTTGCAATGGCCTCTGTCTTTTTATTCCAAGGCAGCAGGGTGACCTAACTGATCCTGAGCTGATTTATTTTGGCTGTTCAAAGATTAGGAACTGTAATTATAGAGGATAGGGTATATTTCTCAAGGCCATTCCATTCTCCTGTAACATCTTAGCCCATCACACATGGCTGTAGTGGGAAAGTCCATGTTCTCATAGGACCCTGGCCCCAGCCAATGGATGAATACTTGATACAAAATAAGCCAGTCAGAATCCTTCCCCAAGATGCTTTTCTTAACTGAAACCAAAACAAAAAAAGGAATCCACTCCTCTCAGGTGGTAGGACCCACAATATTTATGAGACCCAAGAGCCTTTAAGGACCACGTGCCTCACCCATGTGCACCAATTGTTAGAAAGACTAAAACTAAGGGCCAGAGAACAGCAGAAGAAAGAACCCGGGTAGCATTTGATTTTCGCGCTCCCGAGGGTCTTGAAGGTCCAACTGTATCAGAGCCCTTCACAGTTTAGCTGTAAAGCCCTTTCTTCAACCCAGGATCCTTCCAATAAATTTCCTTTTGCAAATAATAGTTTAAGTACTATCTCTGCAGCCACCAGAAGGCAAGGGCAAAAAAGACATAAAAGGACTCATTTCTAAGCAATGGGTAAGGCAGGGGTACTTTGCAGGAGAAAGCTGAGGGGTGGTCAGCTAGTAGAAACATGGAATATTGAAGTTATTGTGGCTCAGGTCACAAGGTCTGATGATGCCTGCAGAGAGTCAATAACACGTGTAACCCTTATGGAGCCACAAAACAGACTGAAACCCCTCCTATAAATCATAGACTTTCAAACATTCAAATATTATGTGAATCCTGAGGGAAAAAAAGACACCTACTGAGAAGGGCTCCTGGTTGCTAACTGGGCTCAAATTTTAAAAAACAGAGCCTAGCAGCCACTTCTGCACAGGGGCCTCTCATGCAAACCAGGGAGAAACCTATACTGAACTACCTGCCTCTGCGCTGCGTACACGCCATCTGAGCTGCCCTTAGAAAGGAGCTCCTGAAATCCTGCTTCAACCAGTAAGACTGAGGAGTGAAGTCCCAGCCAATCAGGCCAGTGCCTTTTGGACCAATCAGACTTGCAGGATTTGGAGTCCTCATTTGCAAGGGGACAGACCAATCAGGGCCCGGGGTGGGGATTTCTGTCCATGAAAGCCAGCTCCCCTCTGTTTGAGAGCTCACTTTCTTTCCCCACCCGCACCTCCCTGGCTGAGCTGCAAGGCCAGGGCTCCCTCGCCAGGGCAGAGTGAAGCAGACTGCCGCAGAGCAGAGCTGTCCAGCTGGAGAGGGGCCTGGCCCCAGACCTGTTCGCTGCTGAGCTGCTTTCACAGCCATGCTCTAGCACAATTGAGCTGTTTTGCACTGAATAAAATTTCCTTCTTCACCACAGCCCACAGTAGGGATTCCTGTTGTTGCTGAATTGGCACAAACGACCACTGGCTGACAATACCAATCAGGGCATCTTGATAAAAAATACTTTCGATTGTCTTATCATTCTGATCACTGTCTCCTTGATATTCTGTTTTAACTTCTTTTGTGTGTTTTTAATTTTTTATTGCTTTTTCGAGAGAGAGAGAGAGAGAGAGAGAGAGAGAGAGAGGAAGGAAGGAAGAGGGAGAAAGAGAGAGAAACACTGATGTGAGAGAACATCAATCAGCTGCTTCCTGGACACCCCCTACCAGGGATCTAGTCCACAGCCCAGGCATGTGCCCTGATCGGGAATTGAACCAGCAACCTTTCGGTGCATGGGATGATGCCCAATCAACTGAGCCACACTGGCCAGGGCTTCTTCATTTTAGATCACTGAATCTTAACTGAAGAGAAAAAGGGTATGTATTTATATGTATTTATGAGTGTGTGTATGCATGCATGTATATCCATGTACCCTACTAAGACTAAGCATCAGCACCTGTATATTTTAAAACTACATATAAGGCTTTGATCTTTTTTTTATTCAATTCACCCTTCCNATTTATCCTTTTAAAACTCATCTTTTTTTTATTCAATTCACCCTTCCAACTTTTAGAAAATTATTTTAAGTATTGATGCTCTCATCTAAGCTGTTAATAAACATATTCTATAAAACCTGCTTCTGTTTTTATTCTTAATTATGGAATAGAAGAGTAACATTTACATAACAGATACTGGCTATAACATACAATAGGAAATATCCAGTTGAAAACTATAACTCGGTCATTCAGAAGTTTGGTCTATATGACACATACTTTGGGGATATCAGGAAACATTGGCCAAATCAGAGGCTTGACATATTATACAGACATAGTAAATGGAGATGAACTTTTTGATTTAAGTTACTGCATAGTTTATTTAATAAAAAGACATGAAAAAATCCATATTAACATATTTTAAATGTAAATTATTGTTGATAATACAGCTAACATAAAGAAAAGAGATGCACTACTGTGCCAGAGATCAGAGTACCTCCAATATTATAAAGACCTTCACATCAACCACCATAATTAGAAACAACTCACTCTTAACCAAAATGTTGATAATATCACTATTAGAGAACTATGAATATCACTTTTATGAAATTGCTCACAAAGCAGTTTTGCACACACAATCTTATTTGATCCTTAAAATAACCCAGTGAAATATTGCTAATAATATTAGACTGTTATCTCTATTTTTCAAAGAGATAAGACATGTTTAAGTCACACAGCTGTGTGGCAGGTCTTAGACTATGAAACTCATGATATAACATCTAGAAAAAAAACAGCTTGAGGATTCTAAGAGGTTTTAAATAAAAGTTTTATAAACCTTCAAATTACCTTCTCTAATTGTTCTTGAGCTCTCTCTAGTTTTTCTATTCTCTGTCTCTCTTTTTCTTGCATTTCCAACTCCAGCTGGATGGCCAACTGCTGCTGAATATTCAGAAAAAAAGTAGGTCATGTCAGAGTCAGATCAACTGCCAGGAATTAACTCTATCACTCTGAAATGTCCCTGGATCATTAAGTTTACACCCACCTAAATTTCAAAAACTTACAAAAATAAGTGATCACAGCCACCTAATACTTTATAGCGTTTACAAATATTTCCTGAAATATACAATATAAAAAGGAAGCTTCCTTAATTGCTAATTGTAGAAAAGCACAATTTGTACAGAATCAAGTCACTGTCTCTGTTCTTCTTGAAGCAACAAATGAGATTGCAGCAATTTTTTCCGATAAAATCTTGTTAAGCAGAGATGGATGGGTCTTCAAACCACCAAAACTTGGTTACAGAGAGTGGATGAGAAAATCCTTATTATCTGAAACCACTGATAGTCAACAATGTATTTGGTCCCAACTCAACGCCTATGCCATACTAGCAAAGGGGTTAGCAAACAAAATTCTGTGGGCCAAATCCGATCCAACTCCTGCTTTTATACAGCCCTAAAGCTACAAATGGTTTGTACATTTTTAAATGGCTGAAAAATATCAAATAATAATAATAATAATGTGAAATTCAAATTTCAGTGTCTATAAATAAAGTTTTATTGAAACACTGCCATGGTCACTCTCAAGACTGCTTTTGCACTACAACAGCACAGTTGAGTAGTTGCAACACAGACCATAAGGGGCACTCTCATCACTGCATGGCTGCCTAGCACACTAGTCAACAGATCTGCAGGGTCACATTATCACTATACTGCGATATTTATTTTTAATTAGTGCTTATCCATCAGGTAAAAATAAGAAGCAAAATTGCCCAGCCGGCGTGGTTCAATGGTTGCGCATCGACCCTTGAACCAAGAGGTCACCAGTTCGATTCCTGGTCAGGGCACATGCCTAGGTTTTGGGCTTGATCCCCAGTAGAAAGCATGCAGGAGGCAGCCGATTGATGATGTTTCTCTCTCATTGATGCTTCTATCTCTCTATCCCTCTCCCTTCCTCTCTCGCTCTCAAAAATCAATAAAAACATATTTAAAATTTAAAAACCCAATTATTTCATCTCTACAGAATTTCTTCACAAAAATTAAAAATGAAAATGAGGCTGCAACAAAAGTAAGTTTCCAAGCCCTGACTGGTGTGGCCACTGGTTAGAGTGTCAGCCTGAGGACCAAAGGGTTCAATTCCCGGTCAAGGGCAGGAACCTGGGTTGCAGGTTCAATCCTTGGCCCTAGTTGGGGTGCATGTAGGAAGCAACCAATCGATGTGACTCTCTCACATCAGTGTTTCTCTCTCTCTCTCTCTCTCTCCCCCTCCCCTCTCTGTCTCCCTCTGTCCCTCCCTCCCTTCCTTCAAGAAATTCTCTCTAAAAAAAAAAATCAATGAAAAAAATATCCTCCGGTTAGGATTAACAAAAAAAAAAGTAAGTTTTCAAGTGGCTCATTTGTTAGTCAAACAAAGAACACATCTTCCAAATGTTATTTAATTAAAACATGTTTGATTTCAGTGTCTGGGAAAACAAGCTTATTTAACATTAGCCTTTGGGCTAGAACAGTTGCTCACAGAGCTGATGACATTGGGATCGATAGTTGTCAATTAAATGCAAGGCAAATGATTCTAGGAGGTTCTCCCTGGCTCCTGATGAGTGGACAAATGTTCCCAACACTGCTCAGCTGTTGTTTACTCAAGGGGTCAATGCCGAGTTTGAAGCGACTGAAAAATCAGCTTCTGTGAATGGTCTTCATGGGACAACTACAAGCAATAATATTTTCAAAGAAGCTGAGAAACATTAATTTGGTACAACCGGAAGTGAAATCTGCTAAGATGCATTACAAGAAATGATTAAAAAAATATATGTGGAACCATAAAACAGAAAAAGGTTAAGTTGGACAAATTTACAAAGCTTGTGAAAACAGTGTTTAAAGCCTATGAGAGCTCATGGTATTGAACAGCAGCCACTCTGCAGAAAATACTTCACTCTATCATGTGCATTGAGCTAATGGTGTCAACAGTGTCCTACATTCTCTTGTATGAACTTAAGCATTGTCAGTCCTATGAATTTTTGTCAGAAACAGAAGCTGGCTAGATCTTGACTCGCCCTACCACACGGCAGTTTCATGGCTTCATGGTGGTCATGTTTTGCTGTGAATTTCTGAGACTGAAATTTTCTCAATGAGAAGAACCATTTCAGCCACTATTATAAAAAATTAAATGGCTCTGGAAATTCACTTTTTGCTGCAGACTTAATAATGTTTTTTAATCAATTCAACCTAAAATTTTAAGGCAAAATAGCATTTATATGTAAAACTTACATTGCAGAAAAATCGTTTCAACAATTAATGTTTGAATCCCCATGCCAAGCTGCTTTATATACTTCTAGTGCTGTCAAAACCAAAACAAGGAACTAGGTCTCCATTCCCACACAAATTTGCAGCAGGTATATTTTCCAAGCTCAAACTGTAGTTCCGGAGTGTTGTTAGGCCATGATGTAAGCACAAAGTAAATTTCCATATTTCAAAACCCACTGAACTGTAATTGAGAAGCTAATACCAACCTTCAACTGGAAGTGATTGATCTACAAGGCAAGAACATGCTAAAAAACAAATATCAAGAGAAAAACCTAATAGAACTCCATGAATGCCTTCCAAGAGATGAATATGCTCAAAATTAAATGCACATGGGCTGATACCAATATCTGGCAGGACCTACGTGTGAAAGGATACTTTCAAAGATAAATACATAAAATCTCATTTCAGATCAGCACTAACAGATAAACATTTTCAAACAACTTTGATGATAGGGAACATTCAATTTGAACTCCAACTAAGTGAAATGCTTTATTTAAAAAATGAATTTAATTCTTCTTAGTAGTAAGCTTATATTACAAAAATATTCTATTCAAATAATTATTATTCATTTCATTAATAAAACATTTGTGGAAATTTGTTTTCTTTCTTGCTATATGTACATAATACACCATAATACCTACATAATATCTTCAGTTTTACCTCTAGAATATCTACCCTTGGAGAAAGAGTTTGCCAACCTCTAAGCCAGAAAATAAATTGTCACCATCAATCCAGCCTACCTCATAAACAAGCTAATATGCTCATCCCATTAAGAGCATTTTAAAACTACAGTTTTTAAGTAAAACATTTGAATAAATAGGTATAATAAACAGTGATTAATACTTATTCATAAAGGGCTGTTAAAGTAATTGTTCACATTCCTGTACTACCAGCACTAAGACAGGTAGCTGAAATGCAGGAACATGTCATTCTATTAACTTGCAGACAATGGTAGAGAAAGTGAAATAACTCAAATCTCTCAACAATAATGCAAAGTGCAGTTGTTAAATACCCACCACAGTGGTCAACATAACCAGTTTCTTAACATTCTCAGGAAATTTTCAAAACCCAATTCCCTTCTGTACACAAAGAGAGTAAAATCATTAGAAAGGTAATCAAATAAAAAAATAAAAAAGCTGCTACTTCTAAAATAAGCTCTTAAGTAGAAAACAGCAATGAAAATACTAGCCTGTCCACAAGGACTCAGGCTTGCTGGAGAGTGCCTAAATTTTCAAGGCGTCCCCAGCCAGTGTTATTACTATGAGAACACTGGCTCTTGCAATCAATAGGCAGGTGACCAGAGTCCTGAACCTCCAGCCACCTGATTCAGCGGGAACAGAGAGGCCTCTCGGTTTCTCTTCATCTCAGCCTCACACTCTCAAGCTTTTCTCTGTTGGCACATCTCTCCGCGTGTCCCTTCACCTTCTCTCATCTGTGTCACCACTCCACATCTTTAACTGGCCATAAAATCTTTTGCAGAATATCATTGTATCTTTCACTCCCAATACAATGCTTAGGGTTCAGTGCAGTGGATTGCTTTATACTGGTCAACATGATACAGCTAGAGAAATGTTTGATTTCTAGTATTGACAAATTTTATCTAAGAAAGATAAAGCAGATGAGTTAAAGAAAGTTAAGTATCTCTACATTTATGATATAATTGTCCTGGGGAGAACTGCTGAGAAGCTCTCCTTATTCTGACAGATGGGGTACAGATACCAGCCGTAGGAGCTGCTAAGAGGAAGGGCAGATCCTCACTCACAGCTGGGGCTACTGCGGCAGACACTACTCAACACTTTGTAACTTCCCCACAAGAATGAGCCAATGACTGAAAAAGGAAGACTCAGAAACAGTAAAGTTTTCAACAACCACGTCCATATAAGGTGCCTAGAATATTCTGTCCAATGTCAAGAATGGGAGATTAGATAAAAAAGCTACTTCCCATGTCTATATTTAACTTTCTATCTACACACCCAAATAATTGGCTTCTTTCCCTTTTTTAGATGTGTAAACTGGAGTTAAGACTCTGGAGTTAAGCGCCATATGGTACAACTATAGGGGTGACTTAAATTTAGTAGAGAGTCTCTCCATAAATTAAATTAGTCCAGAAGCCACTTTGGAACTTTCCCCTATCTAGTTACTACTCCATGACCCATTCCTCCAATCATTCTCTTACCAATATCTTCAGTTCCCCAATCCTGGAACCCCAAACCTACTTCAGTAGAAGGGTCTGCCTTTGCCACAGCTTCACTCAGATATCTTGGTCTAAGTGCAGAAAATCACGTACTCACAAAACCAAATCAGATGAAAATATATTATAAATGCGTGGTCTCCAACTACATCAGGGTTCTCAACGCTACCAAGTAATGCTGTTTCCCTGATCAGCTCTCTGCCATTTCCAAAGCCACCATCCCACACCCTTCACCACTCTCCCCACACCTCCTACTTTACCACCTCATTCCTGAAAGACAATTGTGGTCCCTACTTCATAAAGACGACGCAGTCAACAGAAACTGCTTTCAACTTCGTGCCACGAAACCTATACACCCACATGTCCCATCCCCTCCTCTTCCCTTCAATCAAGGAATCAAAGAAGTGCCCTTCTACCTGCCTAACCTATGTCCCAGGCTCGGTTTCCTTTTTTCTCCATGGAAAGCTGACTCTACCAATCATCCCCTGTATTTCTTATCAACCACTCCCCCGCCACTATGTTCCTTAAACACACACACACACATACACACACACAAAAACTCCTTCCCCTGAAAATCTGCTTGAAAGTATTACCTACACTCACCATTTCCCCTGCTACACCCCACCCCACCCCACCACGTGGCTCCCACCAAAGTGGTCTTGAATGAGCACTTTGCAGTCCTGCTCTCACTCAACCGGCACAGACGTGGTTGACCACGGGATGCTCTCTCCCCTTGGCTCCCGAGCGAGCCCACTCTCTGGGTTTTCCTCCTACCTNAGGTGTCACTGGGATGCTCTCTCCCCTTGGCTCCCGAGCGAGCCCACTCTCTGGGTTTTCCTCCTACCTCGCTGCTGCTGCTTCTCCAGCAAAGACGACACATACATAAAGAGGAAGCTATGAGAAAACCATATGGAGGTAACCAGAGGTGGGAATCTTTCAGCATTTGGGCTGTGCCACACGGAGGCTGCCACTGTGGACTGCAGTCCCCTCCGAGCTCCCGTGCCCGTCTCACCTGCTGAAACATGAGCTCCTCCGCCTTGAGCCTCTCCAACACTTCCCGCTCCATCAGAGCCACCTGTCTCTCACGCTCCAAGTCGGCCAGCTCCTTCTGCCTCTAGCATCGTTTAAAAGCAATATCGCATGACTAATTAGAGATCAAATGACTTGTCAAACAATTCGGAAAGCATATTAGTCACCAACAGTAGGGAAAGGATAAGGCAACGTATAGTCTATCCATTTGAAAACTGTACAATAATTGGGGAAAATATGTGTTTTATTTGAATAAAGAGGACCGAATTTAAAAATTATACATTGAGTACGACCACAATTACGTAAAAAAAAAAATCTATAGACAAATGTTTAGAAAAAGGATTGGAAAAAATACCTAAAAATCTAAATAGAAATCTCCTTTGGGAAATTTCTTCTTTCTACTTTTTCATGTTGTTCAAGTTTTTGTATACTAAACACACTGTTTATAATAGGACATTTTTAAAAAGCAGACATATGGGACCAATTATTTTACTCTTCTAAATTTCTAAAAGAAGATCCATACTTACCAGCTCCTCCATGACCACATTTTCCTTATATTTGTAAATCCACAATGCTAAATATTCTATTGGATCCAGTGGGCGCATTCTTGCCACATCTGCAAGACCTTGAGTTAGACACGTCCCGAGGTGCTTTTGAAGATACCTCGACTCCATTTCTAACTCCTAACTTCTGAAAGATAATGTTTTTGCATTAATGCAGGAAATTTCCAATTAAGACACAATAAAAATAGAGTCCAGTGAGGCCAACAAAGCACTACATCCTGTCACTAGTCATGGGCACCTCACATCACGGATGGCACAAGCAAGCTGGCCCCAGGAGACTTCCAATGGTTTCCAAAAAAGGCTTCAGAGAAGTCACTACAACTAAAATAGTTTTGAAATCCTGAGTCCAAGAGTCAGAAGAGGGATACTGTCATTACTGATTGCGAGAGGACTATATGCCAGGCAATGCATGTCTCACTTAATCCTCACAACACACCTGAAAAATGGACGTCATTTTTCAGATGAGGAAGCCCAGACACAGAGATCACGCAGGTGGCACATGGTAGAGGTGGGACTCATATCCAACTCCTGATTCAAGTGGTTACCCTAATGTCTGTACTAAGACACTCCTCCCAAGCCATGGGAATCATTTTTAGAAAACATCACAATAGTCCACCTCAAAAAAAAAGTCCATGAATCTCCAAATCCAAAGAATAAAAAAAATTCAACCTTCAAAGACTAGCATATGAGGTGGCTCCTGACACTCTGGCCCCAACGTCCTTTGAGGCTCACCCCCAGACGATTCTTCCATTGCAGTATAGAATAACATTTCAGTGTGGGCTCTAACCACACTGAAAATCCTGCCATTCTGCTGATCACATCTTACACATTTCCATCTCCATGACTTTTGTACATGATGATGCCTATCTCCTCACCTGCAGGATATAGATCATCNCCTGGGCTCTAACCACACTGAAAATCCTGCCATTCTGCTGATCACATCTTACACATTTCCATCTCCATGACTTTTGTACATGATGATGCCTATCTCCTCACCTGCAGGATATAGATCATCTCTCCTTCCCTGAGCTTTCCCAGGCAATGCAAAGAAGTTCCTCCTTCCCAAGCAGCTCACACAGCACTTGTCACACTATCTGAGAATTATCCCTATAGGCACGTTTCTGTCCTTCCACTAAAAGACAAGCTCCTCTAGCCCCTCAAGGAGTGTTTTAATCACAGGGCTGACACAGCTGGTTCTCCATCGTGGCAAACAAATGAGTTTCTCTACTCTCCCAGTAATGTCCCAGTCTATTAGTTATGAAGATGGACAGGAATAACCTTAGACCAGGTATTTTTAAAAGAAAGAAATGCAGCAACCACTATATCTCAGGTGCTATGAAAAAACTATCACCCTCAAATTAACCTATGGAAGCTAGACCCTTCTGGATATATATATATTTATACACACACACACATATATGTATATAATTTTATTTTTCAATTATAGTTGACATTCAATATTATTTGATATTAGTTTCAGGTGTATAGCAGAGTGGTTAGACATTTAGATATGAAGTGATCCCCCAGTAATTCTAATACCCATCAATAGTTATTAAATATTGACTATATTCCCTATGCTATACTTTACATCCCTGTGACTATTTTGTAGCTACTAATTTATACTCCTTAATTCTAACTCTTTCACCTAGCTCCCCAACCCTCCTCCCATCTGGCCTATCTATATATATAGATATATATCTATATTTATCTATATCTACACATACAGATACTGAGTACCTATTATATGTCTGGCATGGCCAATTATAGGGGTAGAACGACAGTGTGTCTAGGCCTGCTGCTGGACAAATGCATCTAACATTTTGCAAAAAAAAAATTTTAAACAATTACTTGAGGGTATTATGATAAGTAAAATAAGTCAGACAGAAAAAGACAAATAACATATGGTTTCACTTACATGTGGAAACTAAAAAAAAACAGAAACAGACTCATAGAAACAGAGATCAAACCGATGGTTGCCAGAAGGGTGTAGGGGAATAGATGAAAGGTGAAGGGCAACAGTCAATAAAATTGTGATAACTTTGTACCATGACAAGTGTTTTCTAGACTTAGTGTGATGATCACGTTGCAAGATATGTAAGCATCGAATTACTATACCATACACCTGGAATTAATGTAATATTGTATTCCAACTATACTTGAATTTTTAAAAAATGATCTCCTGTAATTCATCCATAGACCCCCAAAATATAGCTCTCTCTCATACAACAGTGGTGAGAGTACAAAATGGTATAATCCCTATGGAGGGGAATTTGGCAATATCTAGAAAATTACTTATGTATTTATCCTTTGACCATTCAATCTCACTTCTGGAATCCTAGCTTACAAAAATATGAAGTCAAATATGCACATGGTTATTTTACACCAGTAGTTGGAATACACAAACTGGAATCCCATCCAAATGTTCATCATTAAAGATTGGTGAGATACAGCAACACAACGGGTGACTGTGCAAATATAAAAGGAAATGAGGAAGATGTCTAAAGAAGGGAGTGATCTGTAGGACATAGTGTGAAGTGAAAAAAAGGAAGGTGCAGAAATTGTCTATAGTACGCCACCTTTTGTATTAGCAACAGCAGTGGGAAAAGGAATGTGTATGTGTGCAGGTAAATGGAGTAATAAAAACTAAAACTCTAAAAACTGCCACAAATGAACCTGATTCTTTATCAAGCTGGTAATGGTATCTTAACCATGCAGAGAAAAGAATTATTACAACTGAATTTGGAACACAGTATCTTCACTGTATTTCTTGGATGAGATATACTCTAAGGACAAAAATAATTACATTGACATATCATTTGAACTGGAAAAAGATTAAAAGGGGGGGGGGGCATGTGGCTCAGTTGGTTGAGCTTTGTCCCATGTACCAAAGAGGTCACCGGTTTGATTCTGTGTAAGGTACATGCCAGAGTTGCAGGCTCCATCTCCAGTAGGGGGAGCTCAGGGTGCAGCCCATAGATGTTTCTCATCAATGTTTCTGTCTCTCCCTCCCTCTCCCTTCTTCTCTAAAATCAATAAAAACATATTTAAAAAATAAAATAAAAGGGGTATAGATTCTTGCTGCAACTCCATAAAGGCAATACACGGGAAGGGGACCATGGTCCCCAAGGGAGAAAACCTCTGGCCTAAGAGCAGGGCCCACGGAGGGCCAGTCTCAGCTCCATGGGCGCCTCGCCCGCCCAGGGAGGCCCCAGGCGCGCCTCGCCACCCCCTTGGGCAGCTTCCTGTCAATGGCATCGCGGGAATGCCCATCTCACCAAGGCTGTTTGAAGGGATGTTATTTTTCATATCAGAAAGCCCCTTCCCACAGAGCCAGCTGCCTCTAATCTGGAGACGTTGTTACAAGAATAGAAAGAGGTCCGTGGGCCAGGCCGGGGAGAAAGCGGGCGGGCCGAGCGGGGAGGGAGGGATTCGTAGCAGACACACAGGCGCGCAGTTACATTTGCATTTCAGATACCGAATGATATGCATTACGCTGTACTTGTACTATAAAGTTATTCCTTATTTCTCTGAAATGCACGTTTACCTGGGCGCCCCGTATTTTATTTGGCAGCCCTCGAGTCGGGGCGCCCGGGTTTCTTTCCCACCCCCGGTCCGCGACCCGTTCCCGCCTCCCCCGCCCTCCCCGGGCTCGGCG